CTTTCCAGAGCGCGGCGTCGTGGCTGAGGACTTTTGCACCCGCAGGGGCCGCCGAGCCTGAGGGCAAGGATGACCTGCACTGCCTCCTGCGGGCCTTGCACGCCTACAAGCGCCTGTTTCAGACAGGCGGCGCCGAGCCGATTGACGAGGCCTCGTGGCTGCATCCTTACGTGGCCATCGTCGAGCCCGAGGCGATCCCCGCGGATGCTGACCTCCAGGCCATGGGGGCGGGCGCCATCCGTGGCATCGGTCTCGGCTCAAAGATCGAGCAGCGGCGGCGCGCGGGCAAACTGGCCTGCCTTTTCGACCTTCTGTACCACGTGCAGGACAGTCACGGCGCCATCCCAGCAGCGCTGTGGGGATCCCATTCCCCTCCGTCCGAGATCCTCGACGCCTTCGCGGAGGTGGTGCCCGTGCCACATCATTCGGGCCTCACGTCCTCGGCAGCTCGTTCCGAGCTTGCCGAAGCAGCCGCAGCTGCGCGTGCCGAGCCGCGCCCGCCTTTTGACTGGCCGACCCTCGAGAGAGGGGACGCTCTGCCAGCCGAGATCGAAGCAGGGGCTCGCCGTGCCTACCGTAACATGGGCGGGTCCTTCAGCTCGGCGCGGGCGATGCTGGCGGAGGCGTCGGGGTTCGAGACCGACGGGCGGGACGCCCTCGTTCCGCCCTTCTACGCGTCCAGGCGCAGGAGGGCCGCCACGGTGATCAGCTCTCCAAGCCCTGGCCGCCCTGCGCTCATCCTGTGGTGCGTCTGCGGCCTCTGCATCTCTCTGGGAGCCGCGGCGCCGACCGCAGGCCAAGGGCTTAGTCGGGCTGCGCCGTCCGCGCCCGCTCGCCCTCCGCGCACTCCCTTTGTGCGCGATTCTCACCTCACCTCCGCGTATCTCGACCGTCGCTCGAGATCGATTGATGCCTTCGAGCTGTGGTTAGCAGAACACACTGGCGTGCCACCCGCCACACTTTACCGAAGCGGGATACTTCTCGCTCGTTTCCTCGCGACCTTCGGCGTGTGGCTTCATGATGCAGGTTTCCCTCATTATATTTTGGTCCATGCCATCTTGGGAATCCAAAGCGCCCATCCGCATTGGAAGGCCTTTCTGACAGAAGCTTGGGACGTAGCGAAACAATGGAAGCTTGCGGAGCCGCCAAAGCTCCGTCCCCCCTTGCCACGCGCGCTGCTGCGCGCCATGGTCGGGCTCTGTCTCGCCTGGGACTGGCCTGTGATGGCGGCGCTGCTGCTCATGGGCTTCACGATGTTCCTCAGGCCTGGCGAACTGCTGGCGTCACGCCGCTGTGACCTGTCGCTTCCATGCGACCGTCTCGAAGTTGAAGGGGATGCTTTTCTTTCGATTCTTGTTCCAAAGACCAGAAGAACGTACCCGACGCAACATGCTCGCTGCTCCGATCGGGGCACGGTGAAGATATTGAGTCAAGTGTTTGGAAGGTTGGCTTCCACCGATCCTCTCGCCCCCTTCGGTGCGAGCGGCTTCCGTACTCGGTGGAATCATCTGCTTTTGGCTCTGGGCGTCCCTCTTGCCAAAGCAGGTCAGGGGCTCAACCTGACGCCCGCTTGTCTGCGGGGCTCTGGCGCAACAGACTTTTATATCGCTACGGAAGACGTCCCTCGCGTCTTCTGGCGTGGGCGTTGGCGTCAGGCTTCCAGTGCCGAGCGCTACCTGCAAGCCGCCGCCGCCTCTACAGTTCTTGCTGCGCTGCCCGAGCACGCGCGGGCTCGTATCTTGTTCTTCGCCACCGCCAGCGACCGCCTCGTCGCTTCTTTCCTCCAAGTCGGCCCCGCCGCTTGGCCTGCCCTGCTTGCGGCCGCCCGCCAAAACCTTGTCACTTCGCAAGGTCCTTGAGCACGGGTATGGCTGCCTCGCCGACATCGGCGACCAGACGGACTCCACCGTCTGACGCGCGGCGCCCCGGCTTGAGCGCGCGGGACGGGCCTGCCCATTTTGGGCCGCCCCGCGCGCGCACGCCGCGGCCGCGCACGGAGACAGCTCGCTAGCGCGCGAGCGGGAGAATGCTTCTTCTATTCTCTGTGAGCAAGCTCCTGCTGTCTCCGCAGCTTCTCTGCCCCCCTCCCTCCTCTCCCATTCTAAGGCTGACGGGCGCTGCCTCGCCGACATCGGCGACCAGACGGACTCCACCGTCTGACGCGCGGCGCCCCGGCTTGAGCGCGCGGGACGGGCCTGCCCATTTTGGGCCGCCCCGCGCGCGCACGCCGCGGCCGCGCACGGAGACAGCTCGCTAGCGCGCGAGCGGGAGAATCCTTTGAAACGTGCCACAGAGGATTCCGCCACAAGGGGATCACAATTACACTCGCCGCGAAAAAGATCCCGTCTGCATTCCGACACATAGGGATTTTTTTGTAATCAACCACAGCAGGATTCTTCAGTAATCCACCACAAAAGAATCCCTGACTAATCTTTTGTATTCCGCCACACAGGGAAATCCCATAGTAATCCACCACAAAAAGTATCCCATAGTATTCTGCCACAACCAACATCTTTGTACATCCCGCCACACAGGAATCATTTTGTAATCCGCCTCAAGGTAAAACCGTTTGTACGTGGCCACAAAGAAGATTCCTTATGCTTTCCGCCACATCAGGAATTCTTTGGTAATCAACCACGTAGGGATCCCTTTTGCATTCTGCCACAAAAGGAATCCAGGAGTAATGCGCCACACAGGGAATCCATCTTAGTTTTCCGCCACAAAAGGAAATCCTTTCTAGCATTCTGTCGCAGAAGGAAACCCTTCCGTTCTCGGTCATCAGAGGATTTCTTCTGTATTGCGCCAGAAAGCAAATCCTTTTGTAATCGACCACGGACGGATTCTTATTCGGTTTGGCCACAAGAGGAGTGCGTGTGCATTCACAGGGGGAATCCTTTTTGGTATTCCGCCACAACGGGAATCCATTTGCATTCCGCTGTAAAGGAGTTCATTTCTATTCCGAACTCGGTAGTCTGCCGTCAAAGGACTTGGTGCATTACGAAAGTATTCCTTTTGTGGTGGAGTATAGAACTATTCATTCGAATGGACTGGAAAAACAGGTTTCTTGTTGAGTCGAGTATACATAATCAATTCCCATGCCCTGCGGATTATAACGATATCGTTCGTTGCTTCGTTGGAAAGACACGCTCAAACAGCCCAGGCCTGTATCGTGCCTGGCGCCACTCCTCCTCCTCCGCCTCCTCCTCCTCCTCTTCCTCCCCTCCCCCTTTCCCTTTCCCTGTCCTCGTCCTCCTCATTTTTCTCCTCCGTCCTCCGCTCTGCCCCACGTGCCATGAAGATCTGGGGTTCTGAGGCCCGCCCGCACCCTCGTCGCTTCGAGCACGGGCGCGTCCTTTGCCGACCCCGCGCGCCCGCCCCCCAGAGGGGGCGCTGGATGCAGGACCAGGCCGCAGGAGGAGGCCGACGACGACGCCAGCGGCGGCGACGACGAGTGACGACCACGGAGGTGCTGGTGGTGAGTATGATGGTCGTGATAATGCGGTTGCTGCTGCTGCTGATGATGATGAGGACGACGATGATGACGATGATGGCTATGAATATGATGATGATGATGGAGAATATGATGATACATAATACGAATCATATGATGCTGAAGATGCAGATGCACATACATATGAAGATGCACATGCTGAGCATGCTGATTCTGATGATGATGGTTGTGGTGATGATGACGATGACGATGGCGGCGATGACGACGGCGATGACAACGGCGATGATGGTGATGATGACGACGACGACCATGATGATAATGATGATAATGCTAATGATTTATGATGACGATGACGATGACGACGCTGATGATGATGCTGAGGACGATGATGATGATGCTTATGATGATGATGATGATGATGATGATGATGATGATGATGATGCAGGTGATGGTAATGGTGGTGGTGGTGATGATGACGATGATGATGATGATGCTGATGATGATGATGTTGGCGACGATGATGATGATGATGATCATGATGATGATGAGGATGATGATGTCGATGCTAATGATGATGCTGATGCTGCTAATGATGATGCTGCTGATGTCGGTGCTGCTGATGCTGATCATGATCATGATGATGCTGATGAGGATGTTGATTATGATGATGATGATGATGATGATGATGATGATGGTGATGCTGATAAGAATGCTGATGACGATTACGACGATGATGCTGACGCTGATGATGATGATGATGATGATGGTGGTGGTGGTGGTGAGGATGATGATGATGCTGATGATGATGATGCTGCTGCTGCTGATAATGATGATGATGATGATACTGATGATGATGCTGCTGCTGCTGCTGCTGATGATGATGATGATGATGATGATGATACTGACTATGAGTATGCTGCAGTTGATGATGATGATGATGATGATGATGATGATGATGATGATGATGATGATGATGATGATGATGATGATGATGATGATGATGATGCTGATGATGACGACGAGGATGGTGATGATGCTGATTATGATGATGAGGACGGTTGAGGATGATGATGCTCTTACAGATACGATGAATCTGATGACCAAGACGCTGAATACAATATCACTTCGGGTTCCGAAGGGGCTTGCTGTTCCTACATTGGATCCTCCCACGGCTATCCCCCTAATCTTCTCGTGCATCAGGCCGCTTTTGGGGCCCAGAAGGAGGCATCGTTCCTTGTTTTGCGTTGCACATGGCAGCACGATAAGTGTAGGCCGCGGGAGGAGGCCGACGACGACGACGACGCCAGTGGCGGCGACGACGACTGACGACGACGAAGGTGGTGGGGATTACGATGGTCATGGCGATGATGGTCACGGCGATGGTGATGGTGTTGACGTGGTTGCGACGATGAGGATGCGGCTGATAATGAGTCGTATTATGGTATGATGATTATGCGGATGATGGTGGTTACGATGACGATGGTGGGGATGATGATGATGAGGACGACGAGCAGGAGGAGCAGAAAGATGAGGAAGAGGGGCGGCGAAGGCCTCGGTGGAGCTCACCGCCGAGAACTTCGAGAGGCTAGTGCTGCGCTCGAGCGAGGCACCGCTGGGCCTGCGGCCTGGGCGTGGAGGGAGCGCGGGGAGACTCTCCGCGGCGTACCCCAGCGCGCACGACGTGCGAGGGAGAGTCGTCGCTCGGGTGCGAGTGGGCTGGAGGGTAGGCCCTGGGGGTGGAGTGGAGGAGGGCCGCGGCGGCGCACGCTGTATGTGGCAGTGGCGGCGCACCCCGGATACACGGCAGTGGAAGCGCGCCTCGTGGTTGCTGCAGGCTGGCGCTCTCTGGGGCGCTGCTGCCTCGGGCGTGCGTCTTGAGAACCCTGCTCCCCCCCCCCTCGCCCGCGCAAGAGGGGAGGGAGGGAGACGGGGAGGGAGGAGAAGGAACACGAGGGGATGTCTGCGACTCCTGGGGCGGGGGCGTCGGTAGCTCCCCTGTGGCCGCCGCCCCACCCCTGGTCGGGGGGGGAGGCGAGGGGGACATGGACAGACTCGGGGGGCGGGAACGTCGACCCCGAATCGCCCGGTCGTCGCCGATGGGCGCGTGGCCACCGTACCCACGGGGGACCGTCGGCGATGCACCAGCGGTGTGTCGTCAGCTTGCCCCGTGCATTCTCCTCCTCCTCCTCCTCCTCCTCCTCCTCCTCCTTCCTGTCTCCTCCCTCGGCGTCCGAATTCGGGCCCCGAATTCGGACCACGCTCGCAGGACAAGCGTGGTGTACAGCTTGGTGTGTCCGCTCCCATGTCCCTCTTCAGCAACAAAGAATGGGAAACATTAGCCTGGCGAAGGACCATATGCAGTTGTGAATACCGCAATTGTGAAAACCATCTTCGACCGCGCTCCCTGTGGCCACGGCTTCCCGCTGGAGCCCGGCATGCTCAGGGACGCGTTCGTGGCCGTCTTCGCGGGCGCCGACGACGACGAGGACGGCGTCCTTCTGACCGAGGAGCAGAAGCAGTAGAGGGCTCTGAGACTGGCGCATGGGCCACGATCCTCGTAAGGGGTGTGCCGACATGGCCCGGGGCCGCCGTGAGAACCCTGCCGCTGGCGCCTTCGGGGGCCGCCGTGCGAACCCTGTCATTGGCGCCTCCGCTGGAGTTCCCTATGGGGCCACGATCCTCGTGAGGGGTGTGCCGAAGTGGCCCGAAGCCGCAATGGAGTTCCTTATTGGGCCGCGCTCCTCGTGAGGGGTGTGCCGAAGTGGCCCGAGGTCGCCGTGCGAACCCTGCCATTTTGGAGCCTTCGGTGGAACTCCTTCTGGGGCCACGACTTTCGTGGAGGGCGTGTCGAAGTGGCCCAGGGCCGCCGTGCGAACCCTGCCACTAGCGCCTTCGGTGGAGTTCATATAGGGCCACGGTTCTCGTGAGGGGTGTGCCGAAATGGCCCAAGGCCGCCATGCGAAACTTGTCGCTGGTTCCTTCGGAGGAGCTCCCTATGGGGCCACGATCCTTGTGAGGGGCCAGGGGCCGCCATGCGAACCTTGCCACTGGCGCCTTCGGTGGAGCTCCTATGGGGCCGCGATCCTCGTGAGGGGTGTGCCGAAATGGCCTGAACCTGCCAAGCGAGCCCTGCCTCTGGCGCCTTCGTTGGCTCCCTTTGGGGCCGCGATCCTCGTAGGGGTTGTGCAGAAATGGCCTGAGGCCGCCATGCGAGCCCTGCCACTGGCGCCTTCAGTGGAGCTCCCCATGGGGCCACGATCCTCGTGAGGGGTGTGCCGAAATGGCCCGAGGCCGTCGTGCGAAACCTGCCAGTGGCGCCTTCGGTGGAGCTCCCCATGGGGCCACGATCCTCGTGACGGGGGTGCCGAAATGGCCCGGGGCCGCCGTGCGAAGCCTGCTGGTGGCGCCTTCGGTGGAACTCTTTTTGGGGCCACGATCTTCGTGAGGTGTGTGTCGAAGTGGCCCGGGGCCGCCGTGCGAACCCTGCCATTGGCACCTTCGGTGGAGCTCCTATGGGGCCACGATCCTTGTGAAGGGTGTGCCGAAATGGCCCGGGTCCGCCATGCGCGCCCTGCAACTGGGGGCTTCGGTGGAGCTCCGTATGCGGCCACGAAGCGCTGTAGTGGGTGGGTGATCCGCAGGGAAAAAGGGAGGAGGGGGAGGAAGGAAGGAGGGGGGGAGAACGCGGGGGCACTTTTTTCAAAACGAGGGCCCAACACCACAGGATTGGGGAAAAATCACCCGTGTATCGTCTATACCAGTTCGATGCTTGCTCCTTCCCATCCCACCTTGATCGCCCGCTTAGCCAGGCTGTCCCCGATCTCAGCTTCCCCTGCCTTTTCTTGTGACGCTCGCTCGTCTGCTCCTCACCCTGGCGCTGGCGCCCGCGAGGTCTGGATCGTCCAAGTCTACAGTCCGAGCGACCACTTTTGCAAG